TGGGATTTGTGGAAAAGATTTAGTTCAGTAGCCTGGCTGTCAAAAGTACAATGTCTCAAGGCACTATTTTCAGAATTTTGGCTGTGGAAGTTTTGATGTATGTATTCTTTATTTCCTCTTCGTAGGCATGAGCCAAGTAAGTCCACAGCGACAGCATATTCACAGAATGCTGACAGAGATCTTAGGAGGAAGCCATTACTCAAGAATATCTGTTCTCACACCATACTACTATGAAATAGGTGAGAAGTTAATACTCTAAAAATTGTTATGGAGTCCTTTCATATCACTCTTATTACTAAGATTAGGAAGCTCCTGGTCATATGGCCCCAAAATAACACAAGATATTGCAAATAATAAATTATTGTTTAAAATACAGTTTCCAAAATGTTTTTTATAGTATAAATAATGTTGTATATCTCTAATTATGGCTATCAGTTTATCTAAAAGTAAACATTGTACAGATCAAATTCTTTCATTTTTATTTGTCAGTAAACAGGTTTGTTTTGTTTTCTGGCAGATTTTGAGTGTGTCCTGGATGTAAATAAAAAGCCTCTTTCCTGTATGGCACAGAATATGGCTTTGGGTGAAGTGGGGGGAATACACTTGAGACATGACATCAAGGAGAAAGGGAGAAAGGCCCTGCCACCAGGAGCTCAAAGGTCAGTACATTGAATTCTTGTACATTAGCTCTCCCCAAGCTTATATCCAGTTTAGACCAGGTTTTTGATGCTCAGGTCCTAATGTTCTGTTCCTTTTTCCAAAGTCTAATGAGGTTTAGCCTTCTGGGGTGTGGTGGGTTAGCCACGGCTGCTCCCTCCCATTTGTATGGCATGGCTCATGGCCCTGCAGTGTGATGGGGGAGAGAACGTGGAGGGTAACAGCAAAGAAGAAAACTCCTGGGTTGCAATTAGGACATTTTAGTAAGTGAAGGGGGGAAAAAAGGGGAAGGGAGAAACAAAGTAATCAATGGCCATGCAGTCAGTCACCTACAGCAGACCTGTGCCAGAGCAATGGCTGTGTGGGAAAAAGTCCCCTCTGCTTTACTGCTGAGCATGATATTGTATGGTGTGAAATACCACTTCAGGCAGCTGAGGTTCCCTCCCAGCTGTGTCCCTTCCCAACCTCTTGTCAATGCAGCCTGTATGCACTGTGAGTGCAGAGAGAGAAACAGGGAAGGCCTTGATACTGTGCAAATGCTTTTCAGCAGTAGCCAAGATACCAGTGTGTTATTGACAGGTCTGGTCACAAGTTCAAAACACAGCATCAAATGAACTGGTATGAAGAAAAGTACCTCCATCCCAGCCAAACCCAGCACAGGTTCTTGATATGTGTTTCATGAGATTGGAATACTGTTTTCCTCCCACCTTTTCCAATGCAAGCCTTGAAAATGCTGATTAGCTGTTTTTACCATTGGAACAGATGCAGGGAGAAAATGCTTTTTCTGAATTCAAGTATCTCTAGATAAATAGGAGGAGAATGTTTTGTCTAATTCCAGGCAGTTGTTTAATTTTTGTTTTCTGAGAATTATCTAGTCTTGCTGTAACTATTAATACTGAACTAGAACTATCACTTCTTGCTATTCAGGTAAGACCTGGAAGTAAATGCACATTTTTACTATTTGCAGAATTGCTTTGGAATTTCTTGATTCAAGAGCTTTTAGCAAAGATTATTCACGTCATCTGAAAGGAGAACCTGCCATGAAAAAGCGACACCTGGAAATGCTGGGGTACCAGGTTGTTCAGGTGAGCAGTCAGCAATACTTTTTGTCCTTTCTGAATTGCATCAGCGGTGCAAAATAATCCATTTTCCTCTCAACAGATTTAGAAACAGTTTTATCGTTAAAAGCACCTACTGGGAGAGAGCAATTTTTGTAGTTAGGGGGGAAACTCTAAGCTGTTCTTAAGATGGTGTAAGGACTTGACAGATCTCACACCTTCTCTGAAAGAGGGTGAAGCAAAACTGAAGTCAAAAGGTCCCAGTCTGACCTTACTGCAGAAAAACTAGCAATCTCAGTGTAGCCTCAGTAAAAGAGAAAAAGTCAAATGAGTGTTTCAGTTCAATTCACAGAAGATTTATATGATAGAAAAAGATTGAACATACTCTTCTTGAATGATAAGACAATTTGGCAGCTGCCAGATGGGATATGGATGCTGTTTGTCTGATGCAATGATAGTGCTGTGACAGGGAACACTAGAGGCCAGACATAATTCACCATCAGCACTGAAACATTTGGGAATTGGAGACTCATTAATGCAGAGGCTCCTATATATTTAATTACTCATCTTACCAAATTTTAGCTAGAATCCTTCTTTAAGCTTAAATTTTGTTGGTTTGGGCTTTTTTAAACAGAATAATCATCCTTTTTCATGTTATACTACTGATATCCCATTCCAGTCTGCTACATTACCATTCCAGTCTGATACATTAGCATTACAAACTACAGTGACCTGGGATTTTTCTCTCAATTTGGGTTTTACAAGAGGGGAGGGTGTAATGGAGTTGTCACAGCCTATATTGTGTGGGCATCTCTTTCATATCTCTGCAACTATGCTGCTTTTTGGAACCAGACTGACCGTACTTACATAAAGGAGAATAACAAATTGATCTTTTCAGTATGAGAGTAAGCCAGGCTTTTGGGAGGACACAGGTGGCAAATATCTTCAAGTGAAGAACAACATATATCGGAGATATATGTTTTCTTGCCTCTTATGTTGTGTGTGGCTTATACCAATGTTAAAAATCAGTTTGTACCGTTCTGTTCTACAGATTCCTCACTTTGAATGGAATTCTATGGTTCTGTCAACAAAAGGTGAACAGCTGGAATACCTGAGACAGCAGCTGTATGGAATACAGTGATATCAGACACACAGCCTAAAGTACTTTTATAAAAACAGTTTATGTACCATCAAATGTCTCATAATCCTGGAATACTTAAGTTTCAAAAATCTCTTTATCTGTATCAGCTGGGTCAAGGCATGCTAAGGTCATCAGATGTAAAGAGATGTAATCCTCATTTCGTTAGGGATTGCAAAAGGCAGGTCACAGTGGGCTGTGAAGATATGATAAGGATGCTTAAAATTTCTCATTATCTGGAAGCTATTACAAGCATATGAACCTGGCAGTTTTGCAATCAAATTACATTATTATTTCCTAAATAGATAGCACAGAGGGTTAGCCAAACATAAAACTCCACGGAAAAAGTTGGAAATACTATTGACTAGGAGAGTGGAGGAGTCAGCAATCTACTGGAAACTATGTCTGTCTTCCAGCATGTGACAGAATGAGCAGTTAGGAATCAAACAGTATCTGTACTCTGAAACCAAGAAACTGAAATGCAGATTTTTCTAAGAATAAGGCTGCTTTTAGAGCCATTCAGTTTCCATTCTCAGAACAGAGGTACTGTGGGGGACTGTGCTGGGGGGGAGTGTTGTGTGGTGAGGAACCTCCAGCTGCTTCTCCTACCCTGCAATCTGGTGTGTGCAGAAGAATGACTGAGACTCCTGGAACACCTTCACATACAGGAAAATCCATCCAGGGTCTGTGCAGGAGGTATAAGACATCGAGATGTAGGAGGAGGAAGTGGAATAGCCAGGAGAATGTTCATTGTAGAGCAATAACTGCAGGGGCATCATGCTTGACTAATGATCCCATTTCCAGAGGCAGCCACGTTGTACCTAGAGCTGCCATCACCAGAGGGTGACTGCAGCTGTGCAGGTTTTCTCACATTTGCAATGAGGATATGTTTTCTTCCTTATTTAGTAGGACACATTCTTTTACCACTGCACCTGAAACTTGGCAGAGATAAGTGACTGCATATCTGAATTGGCCATTATGCACCTGGCTGTCACCTCTTTTTTTACTACTCAGTAGTAGAAGAAAAATGTTTTATTAACTGAATGCAAATCAGGACAGGAATGGAAAGTCAAGAAAACACAACAGAACTGATCTAAGCTGCAAGGTACTTTCCTCCTGAGGCAGCCTTCATGTTTGTGGGATGACTGACAAAACTAGTAGTCTAGATGGTAGTCTAGACACTTACGGTTATCAAATGGACAAGGGCTCCAAGATGTAATGACTGCTTTTAGGAAAGGTCATTGAAGGCACAGCACATAGAAAGATTCTGTGTGCATTATATTTTGTGTAAAATGGAGAAGACAATCATAAATGTAGGTTAGTATTTCAGGTGGACTACCTGTCAAAGAGGTCTCACATGACTCTGCTTCTGACAGCCTTCAAGTAACAGCCTCAGAGTGCAAGAAAGGTGGCAGTGGCTGAAGTTATCAGTCAGGATGATCGTGTTTGAGCTGAACCCTGCTTTTCAGGGTTCTAGCAGTCACTGTACCAAGCCAGTTTACTTCAAATTATGTATGGATAAAGTTATGAGTATGCACAATGGGAAGAGGATTAAAACTTGTTATGAGTGATCCAGAAAGGGCATTGAAGAAAAGAAAAAAAAAAAAAAAGGCAATTCAGTAAAATGTATTGTTCTTAATTCTTTGCACTTATTTTTCTATATTAAATCAGCAAGTGTTAGAGCAGATGAGTGGTGTAAACCAGTGATCTAACTGGAGCCAATAAAAATAGATGGTAAGCACAGCTGCAGATTTGGGTACTAAAGGAAAAATGCCCCACAGATTAAGTACTACTGGGCAGTAACATACTGAAATGAACTATGATGGCTGTGCCTCTGCATATGTTTACTTCTGTCTCAAATGAGAGCAATGCAAGAGGTCATTTGATAGTTGGCATTGCTATTCAAGCAGGTATGGTGGCCTTCTTTTCCAGTTTAGATTGAAATTTATGAAATTCTTTAGATTGATGACACCCTCTTTATGCAATGGATAAATTCTTTGAAGAGATACTCAACAAAGAAATGGTAAGCAAGCTCTGAAGGAAACTGAGTGCTCTATTTTGTGCAAAGGCTGTACTAAGAGATCTGTCAATATGATAGTGATGATGAGCTAATCACTAAGAAAAGACGCCATCAAGTGATACTTCTATAGTTTTAAAAACAAAGTTTAATTGTTACAAGTTTCAATGTCAAAATGCATCAACTCTATAGTAAATGAAAAAGTCCTCTCTGTCACAGATATTTGCTAAAGATAGTTCTTTTAGGACTTTTTCATGACTGCTTGTTATCGGCCTCAGATCTCTAGGAAAAACTTCCATAAAATATTTGCTTTGGAAATAAATATAAAAGCATTAAAAAAGTGGAAAATCCTTGTTATCAGAAGTCTAAACATAGTAGGTAAAATAGTAGAGCTACTAACTTGATTAATTTCTCTCTCTACCCTCTCCTCTGTTTATTAGTATAGCTTTGGCTGAGACTGGCATTTAGTAGGCCATGTATTATTAAGCCACTTTTGTTTAAAACGTTCATTTAAATTCCAAGCTAAATTATTTTTTGAGGTCTGTGATGAGAATATTTCCAAGATATTGCTGAAGAGTGAAGGATTTACATACATTACTAAAAGGGGAAACCTGGCCATACAAGCTGCCAGTTAGAATAGAATGAGCTATCTATTAGTTGTATTTAACTTAATTAATTCATGCACATTGTTTAGAGGACTAGCCACCAATACCTGGATTGTATGGGGTGCAAGGAAAGCTAACTAGTGTTGTTTGCAATTTCACAGAGTGGAAAATTGAATTCTTGCCAAAATCTTAATCTAATCAACATTAATTATAACCCTTTAGAAATTTAAACACTGGCTTCAGTGGTTGCTGGTTAGCTAGAAAATATCTTAAGAAGTGGACAGACAAATTAACTATTTAACGGTTCCCAGTATGACTAGTATGATGCTATAAAACTGTACAATTTGGGGACATTTTCATGCAACAAAACCAGAAGAGCCTATCAAAACTCCCTCACCATATCATATCTTCCAGCATTTTGTTTACAGTTTTGATAACTTGAAGAGGTTTAAGCGTGTGGCCAGGCAGGAGGCTCCAGTAGCATATCGGATCTCTTTCAGTATGCCAACCCATTCTTTCTTCTCATCATCGTATCTGCATTTAAAAAAAAGTTAGAAAATAGCTTCTTTAAATTTGAGTTTGATGCTTCAGCACGCATACATGAAAAGGAGGTTAGTCCACCTGTTGCAGAGGCTTGTAGCAACCATGTGCTGAAGGGTGCCACAAAAGGCTGCTTTTGTCTTCTACTCCAGAACAGAAAGATGTTCTTTCACACAAGCTATTCTTTTCCTGGTCCCTTAAGCTTGTTGCATGTGTCATGCTTTAAAAAAGCATCCTCCTTAAGCATCCCTTCTGAATTTCTTCAGATTCTTGCATTTATATAAAGTTGGGGGGTTTTCCTTCCTACTGCCAACTAAAATTTCTGAATTTACATAAGCAACTAAGAATGGCAGCAGAGATATGATGTATCATCACTGTTACTGTGATTAGCTAAAAAAAACCCTAGAAGATAGGGACTTCTGATTCTCTTGGAACAGTTACTCATTTGACCATCAACACATCATTATGTACAGGTCTATGTATATGCATGCTTTTCTGCATCACAGTGTTACAAAAGAATGCTTTTATTGGCCAGGCTAAACCTGCCAAGAGATGGCAATTTACTCTTCTAAAGAAGCTGAAGATCATGACTTGGACTGGTCAAATAATTAGTAGGTGGAAGTAGTCATTAGATCCAAGTCTCGTGTTTATTTGCTACTTTCTGACAAACTGTTTTATCTGTCAACAAATGCTTTACAGCCTGTGCTATGGATCATTTTCAGAATTAAACAGAAAAATAGTCTTAGCCTCCAGTGTCTACGAACCTCAATTTTAGATAAGACTTTTGACCAGGAAAGAGTGAATAAAATTAAACTTACTTCCATATGTCAGTGACTTCACTAGGTGCAAATTCTTTAGATTCAAGCTGAATCATTGCAAAGCCTCCAATAGCATACAAAGCTCCGCTTAAAGTGACTAAACTAATGGAACTTCTCTCTTGGGGAAATTCAGGCATTATCTCCCATCTAAGAATCAAAATAAAAAGTCAAGTTAAATACATAAGAAATATTGTAAACTGAATGCACTAAAATACTTCTCTGGGCAACAAATTCAGGTGCCAAGACCGTGGTTTAGTAAAAGGAAAAAATTCTGAGATTTATCAGCTGTTAGTTCCAGTGTCTCCATCCCATCAGGGACTTCTGCAACTCATAAGGGACACAATTACACTGTTATCTCTTCTTAGGGACAACTTACAGATTCTCTGATTGTTCATTGTTCATATGCTTCATACAGATATATTGTTCTTCAGTTATTCTCATTTCTCCCTACAGTCTCCAAAATGTATATTTATTTCAGATGGCATTAACGTAATAATTGGAGTGTATGTGGGTGCAGGAAAAACGTCTAGAGACCTGCTCTGTAAACCGCTGCTGTTTCTGCTGAAGATGTGACTGCAGACCAAATATGTCAGTGGCAGTAAAGGTACCTGAACAGCTTTGTGACTCTTACCTCAGGGCTCCTAAAAGCCTAGATGATAAAACACTTGATTAAAATAGGTTGAATATTGCACTCACTTATTGGTGGTCAGATCAAAAGCTTCAACAGATGCAGTAAGGCCTTCCTCAGTGACACCACCTGCAATGACAATCTTGCCCTTATGGATGGCTGTTCCAAACATCGAACGAGGCACTTTCATTGGAGCCAGATCTCTCCAGTCTCCTTTCTTGGGATTGTACACAAATAATCTATTAGTGCATTTCCTGGGGAGCAAAAAGAAAACTGGTGATCATTTCTAATGAACTTTTGACTTGCTCCAAGTAGATCTAATTGAGGTAGACTGTATGGGTTTATCTATACCACCTCTTCCCTCTCCTGGAGAATCCTTTTCTCGTATCTAATCTGACAGTCCTTGCCATATCTACAAAGCAGTACTCATATCCATAGGACTAAGTCAAATGTGGTTTACATTACAGCCATTTCATTGTACTTTTGAGGAGAAAGACAACATCCTTTCCCAGCATATTGAATTTAAATGGATTTGTAGAGGAATATATAGCAAAGGTTATGTAAAGGAAAGATTATGATAGTGTTTTGGCTGTTATGATAAACTTTTATCTTAAATATCCCCTATAAAACACTTAAAAATTACCACTCCATCTTCAGTGTGAGTGAAAACTTTTATTTACCAAATGTCATACGCAGTAAGGTATAACAGGTTTCACAGGCCAGAAAATTGGAAAAACTGAGACTGTAATTCCAGGGCACCTAGGTATTTCTATCTGAAAGGAAAGAATACTTTCAGTGAAGGTCCTGATAACTATGTATTACTAATTTGTCTGCAGTATTAGTAAAATTTGCCTTGGAAATAAGTATGGTTACTAAAATAGCAAGTTGGATTACAGTTTATATGTCTTTTACTTTATCACCAAAAATATATATCCTACACACCATAATGTGTTCCCCTCTGCCAGGGGAACACATTATGGTTGTTAGCAACCTTAATCCAGAGATGCAGAAATGGGAAGCCCCATTTCTGAATCTGAGGACATATTATCTATTAAGGACCAAGAAGATAATGTTATTCATTGTCATAAAAAGACTTAGAGACTCACTTATCATCAGTTTTCCCACCAAGACAATATATCAATCCATTGTTTGAGATAGTTGCATGGCCATATACTTTGATGGGCAGTTTTTTGATCTCACCCCATTTCATTGCCCTGGAACAAGAAGACAACTGTTAGGTTTTTTCAACTAACGATGGGCCATCCATATGTCCTCAGTGGGCATAATGAAATTTGAAACATACACAGGGTCATAGCACAATACTGAATCTAGCGACTCCTCAGTGCGAAGGTCCTTGCCTGCTATTACATAGATCTTGTTGTCTGACTCTCCCAGCCCGAAGAGACACCTGGCTGACGGCAGTGGAGGAAGAGCAACCCACTCACCAGCAATGCTATCCAGCTGAAAGAGCATCAGAACAGGAAGGGTTAGGAAAGGCAAAGAAAAAAAATCCACACAATGAATATTGTTCCACAGAATTTATGTACTGGCACTCAGTGTCTCTCAACAGCAAATCTGTTTGCCTGAACAACATGCCCTTCCCTCAGTGCAGCTAATGAATGCTGTCTTCTACCCACCCATGCTTCATTGTGCTGAGATCTAGCAGAGTCAATGCCATACAACTCTCTGTGTCTGCTCACCCTCACTGTTTCTTTGCCTCTTTATTAAGCTCCTCTTCTTCCTTACACAAAGGTCTGTCATTCTCGGTTCCCTATCATGTTGGAAAGAACAAGTGGTTCTTCTTCCTGCCCAAGGAACTCCTGCAGTTCCACACCTGTATGTTTAGCTGGTTGTGCTCATCACTACAGCGAGGTGCCAGTCAGCTTACATGGTTCTTACTGATCAGGAGTCATCACATGGCAAATGGCACAGATGTTTCTTTTGCAATCCCTAGGGCAACAGATGTGTGTTTCATCACAAATACCCTCAAAAGTTCATGGGATCTCTGAAGACACAAAAACCACATTGTTCTTAAGCAAAATAGGAAATCACTGCAGCTCCTTCGGCAATAATATTGGTGCCATTTCTACTGTAGTACTCTCAGGGCTCTCTCAATTAATTAATATCCAGTATGCTGAAAACACCTAAGGAGAAGCAGAGGACAGCAGCAGGAGGACAGGTGGCAAAATAAACCAGGATTTTCCTAGAACTGTGGTGCTTATTTTTTGTTTTAATGTGAGAACTTGTGATTGAACCTGAATTACCTCTAACATTGAAAAAGAACTATTTTCTCAGACCTACTGCATATAGATTTGCTGGACATTGGTATAGGAAGGGGGGTAACATAAGATTTTGTGTGGGTGTAAAGGCATTTGATGGAAAGTAAAAGGAAGTTCAGTCAAAATATAGTTCAGGATTTAGCTTGGTAACATTCTTCTTCCAGAAGTAAGTTCCACAGACAAGATTTCCATGCTAAATGCATCTCCCAAATCACCCCTGTTGGACAGAAAGTTTTACTGCAACAGTGAAATAGTTTGTGGACATGGATTTCTCCAGTAGCTGTATCTGGGTGGGGTAATGAGAAGATGTACCTCTCAGAGATCACAGCTTACTTCATAAATCTTCAAGATGAGATATCTACTGCTGATAGGGCATCAACTTGTCATGCATTTTCAAGCCAGTGGCAGCTTTGTTTTCTGCCAGGTTGCAAGCTACCAAATACATGCTTCATTGGTGGAAGAAGATCAGCAAGTGAAAATTGGTTTGGCACTGCATTAATATTTTGGAGAGCAAAACAGCCACATGGGTAATGCAGACAAGTATTGTAACTATAGGGAATAGCAGCAGTAAGCAAGCTTAAAGATGACAAGCAAACAAACGATTTCAGGAAATGGATGTCAACATATAAAGTAGAATTTTGAAAACTTCATCTATTTTTATTATCACTCTTGAGGTTTAGTTTCTCAGAGGCCCCTTTCTAGTAGCCTGAGACTTATTCGGTTCTGGACTAAATAACATTACTACATCAATGTGTTATTTCTATTGGAAGAGTATTTCTGTAACAAGTTTTTCACTTCAGTGATTAGTGTTTTACACCTGCATAAGGAAATGGAGCAGTGTTAGTCTCTCCCCTTCAGACTAAGACTTCCCTCTCATAGATGTAACAAATATCTGAAACTAAGTCTCTTATTGTGTGTGGAATGAGTGAGCCATACTCCTATAAACAATATTTGCATTTTTTAATATCTGAAGGCTTCAAAATTCTGTCACTGCTTATTACTGTGCTTTATTTCATATTGAAACAGGACTTACTTTAACTCTTCTAGGCCAGTGTGCGTAAAGAGAGGACTTAGCCAGCAGCATATTACATAATTCACCACAAAATAGTTTAAATATACACCAAAGCATTTAGCTAAAAACATAACAGACTTAGTTTATGAGTTTATAAATATAGTTTATAAGCATGACAAACTGCCTTTTTGCTAGTTTTCCTGAAATATATCATGGAGTTATATAAACAGCCTTATATTATAGAGATTTACAAAGATACACAATTACACCCAGTTGAAACATGGTATTTAGTGTACTGACACTGACAGTTTGCTGAGAAAAAGCCTTCTGCCTCTAAATTACATATTTATATGGTCCTTAGGCTCTCAAATGTTGATATAACAAAAAGGACTTCTGCAATTTTAATGGCAGAAATTGCACTTAAAATACACACATTAGCGCTGTCATGAAAGTATTTCAGATGCAAAAAAGAAAGACATCAGATCTAAACCAGCTAAAGCACTCCAACTTTCATCAGTTAACCAAAAATACACAAAAAATATTAAAAAAAAATATTATTAGACTTAAATTTAGAGATCTGTATAATGAAAAATCTGGGCCTTAATGAAAACCAGTGCCTAGACAGAATATACTAATTGTTTTAATATTTTCTGATATCTCATCAGGGGTTAATCTTGAAAAAGAAGATGCAAGGCCCTCAGTTTCATTTGTGTCTCCGAGACAAATATAACTCTCTCTAGATATTTCTCTCCATCACCATACAAAGACACTAGACAACTCGCATACTCAGAACCCTTTTCAGTAACCCTTATAAGCACCTGTTATTATACCAACAATTTTAAAGCTTGTACCTGGAAGAAGTATGACTGGAAAGGCTGATCCTTGTTCTCCTCTTCCACATAGAGTCCTCCAACAATATAGACCTGATTTTGTTTGGTGACTATACTGGAATGATTTCTGGGAATCTGTTCTGCAAGGGCTGCTAGGTAGCATTCATTTTCAAGAGGATCATAAGCTACTGCAGCAGTGTCATTAACCAGAAGAATCAGGTCTTTGACGAACATGCCATGCCTGGGAAGGTCATTTAGGTAGCCAGGCAATAAATCTTCATCTCCTACATCACCATTCACCTCCCCTTTGGTTGACTTTTCTGTGCTTTTGCTAGAGTCAGGCAGTTTTCCAGCAAAAGCATCCTTAATAATCTTAACTTTTTTCTGAAGGTCTGAGTTGCTTTTAATTATATCATCTTTCTCAACCTGTTCTTTGAAATATTTTTCAGGCATTAGACGAAAACGTATGCAGTCAAAAATTTCCCCCAGGCTCTTTACTCTGTTCTCCTTGTCTGTTCGGACCCATCTCATTACTGCTTCAAATACCAGTTCTTCCTTCTCCACGTTTAAACTGTCAGGTGAAATAACTGAGATAAGTTCATGAGGGGCAAGCTGCATGAAGTCCTCTTCTTTGCAGATCTGCACAAAATGATCTGAAACAAAATCACGGGCAGAAAATGCAAGTCTTGGGCAATCAAGCAGAACACCTAACCGAAGGATGGCCAGACAGTTACCAACAGCCAGCCTCTTCTGAAGGTAGGAGACGCACACAGTGAATACAGAAGGGATCTGAAAGCGGCTGGCCAAAGCAAAAATATCTTGCACGTTAGAATCATTGAGATCAATACTTGCTGAATAAAGGTATTTGACAATCATATCCAGGATGTTGGGGTCAACATTATCTAGAACTACTTCCTTCTTTTTCTCTTCATTTTGCTCAGATAAGAAATACTCACGAAAATAAGGGCTACATGCCGACAGAATCAATCTGTGGCAAGGCAGGCTTCTGTCACCAGCTTTTAAAGAGCAATCTACAAACTTTTTCTCTTCAAGGAGTTCCTTGAGGCCATCCTGAAGGAGAGTGGATTGGTAAAGTCTTAGCTCCTCAGAGAGTTCCCTTTGGGAGTCCATTTCGCAAACACTTGGGAAAGGGGAGGGAGTAGAAAGCTTTAGCTGTTGTCTGCCCAAAGGTTTGTCTGTAAAAAAGGCAGACCAATGTGCTTTTTGCCCTGCTTGAAGCCTCTGCAACTTAATCTCACTAGCTAAATATAGGTACATACTGTTACAGGTTGGAATTTGGGATGGACGGTTTGGAAAAACAGAGTTGCTCTTGCAGCTGTCAAAGACTGAAAGAAGCAACTGTTGCTCTTAGTCACTATGGTCAGGTTTTACCATCATTCTCCACATTGAATCAGTACGATTATGTTCAATGTAATAAATAATTTTACATGAGTAAGGACAGCAGAATCTGACCCTCAGTGACACAGCTATGAGCAAGATTGCACAGATACATGTTACTAAATATTCTGAAATAGAAATATTATTAATCGAGTTGTCAGTTTTAACTGCTGTTCACTTTTTCAGAGTTGCTTAATACAGCTCATTGCTGCAGTCATAAGGATAGGAAAAAAATCCTTAACTTTCTATCGATTGCCCTTGCTCTAAGATTATTTTTATTCATAACCATATCACATATACGATTTCTTCAGATATTAAGGCCTTGAAATTTTGGGCTGCTTCTTAATATCCATTTGGTTTTAAACCAAACACTACTGTTTAGACATAAAATATGTGTTATTTCAGGTAAAGTTTTGCTTTCCAAAACAATTCAAATTGAAGCCTCCACCCATATGGTAAAATGTTCTTTGAATGTAATGGAAACACAATCAAAATACAACTATTTGAATGCAAGATTTACAACAAAATATAATATTATCAAAGTTTATTGATAATATAAGTGGTATTTCATTAAAATATATACTTTGAAAGATTTTCTACAAACAGCAGTATTACATTCAGACCACAGTTACTTTAACAGTCAGCTGCTGAAACAACAGCTGAGAGGACAGCTCATTTGACTTTTTCCATTTATAGAAAACAGCACAGAGGTTTTATCTCACTAGAAGATGTAACAGCTGTGTCTCCCTTTAAACAATAAATGACTCATTTCTCTATAACACATAACATCATAAAAGGTCTAATGACTCACACATAGAAGCTATTTGCATGTGCTCTGTTTTCTAGATAATTGCTTTAAAAAGTGCTCTAGCAAAAACAAACAAACAACAACTGTATGAGGATATCTGGATTACAATTAAATACTTGAAATAATACGTGCTGAACATTTAGCAAAGTTAAGAACTACAAAAGTTATCATTTGGAACAGAATTGCTTTTGCTTAAAGCTATCAATAATACAGCCAATGTGCCTACATATAAAATGTTCTATGTATGATGGTATTTATGTGTTACATATCATTAAACAAGCTATGGAAATTTAATTCAAACATAATCATTATGGGAAAGTACATCACTCTGTATAAATACATGAATACTTGAAATTGAGTATCAAACTGCATCCTCACACTGCCCTGTTTCAGATAGTGGTCTCCATATGCAGAAAAAGAGGAGGCTTCTTTTTCTGACAAGAGTGCTGTGTAAAATGGCAAGCAGTGCCTGGTCCTGGCAGCCAAGGGGCAATACATAAACAGAGGAGCCATGAAGTTATTAAAAAATGGTGGCTACCTGCCATACAATGGTGTCTGAAACACCATGGCCGAATTTGTGCTGTCAAGGGAGGGAGAAAGAGGACAATCCTGAAAACAGCGGAGTTCACACGTGTGTCAGTGCCGGCTGTGCCGAGGCACTCCCAGGTGCTCCCAGTCTGACCGGCAGAGGGAATTCGCAGGTCAGTGCAGCCGTGACTGGGGCCTGCAGGCGGCAGCGCTGCCCGCGGCAGCTGCGCCCGGCCCCGTCTGCCTCAGAGCGGCTCTTCTCCCACTGCAGACAGGCAACACAGGAAATGCTAAGCTCTTCAGCATATAAGGGTTTTGAGTAACCTTTCTTTTATGACATAGCCTGAGGGCTTATGATATCATATTTGCCTGCTCTTTAGCTTTGGCATGTTCTTTCTCTGCTACTCCGATATTTCTAAATTATCTTCTACAGATCTAAATCCAGTAAGAACCGAGAGTTTTTCCCTGCTTAGGAAACAAACGTGCAATCGAAATCAGGTCATTACTTCCCAGAGTCCCTGGAGTGTGAATCCATCCTTTAGCTTCTCTATTGCAAGTCCCAGTTCTTCTGAAAAAACAGGCTCCCGATCATGTTGCTTTTTGAATACGTGACATACGAGAGGAAATAAAATAAAGCAGAAGGTACTGATTAATTTCATTATCCAATTTTATCAACATGAATTTCATAGCATGAAAAACTATCTTCTTACCTTGTTTTCATCAGCAAAGTAAGCCTGCAAAGGAAAACAAAAAAGAACTTTGAAAACAGAAGTCTAAAAACCACATCTGCTAATAATTCCTTGGGGTCAAAACTGTATTGGGTAGGTCTTCCACAAGAATCCAGTCTATATGGGTTTTACTTCTATGTTAAAATAATTTACAAAAGGGCTCTAACAGGAGTTTCTCTTTTGAATAATAGATTAGATACCACTGGATTATGGTATTTTTCATTAAATACCAACCTTTGACATTTCCATCATAATAAAGAAAGACTTTTTAAATGGCAACATTTTTATATTATATTTGTTACACTGACAAACACTCTATAGAGAATGTTAATATGAAGACAAACTGACAGCATCCTGGTATTTTTTTGCCTCATGTGCAGCAGCTTTTACTATTCAACATCAAAAACTAGCTTAAAATGTATAATATTAAAATTCAGTTGACATCATACTCAATCTAAGAAAAGAACATAGAGTAAAAGAATAACTCCATAAACAGAGATGTGGGAAAGAGATACCATCTTTCCTATTCTGTGTGGGTGGAAATTAAGGCTCAAACTCCTAGGGATATCAGATCTCCAAAAATATCCACACTCTAGAAATCTCTGGACCAGTAGGTTCTAGATCTTTACCAAAAAGAGCCCAGTCTTGCTTCAGCTGCTCCTGTGCCTGGTGAGGGGCAGCAAAGAAAGCATTTTCTCGTGATATCAAGTATTGTGGAATATTGGTGTGTAGCCACTCCTTGGGTCCTGGGCAACCTGTGTCTCTACAGCAACAACCTTCTAACCATTTGCAGCTTCCAGTTTTTGTTTGAGAACATACAAAGCACAGTTATTTAATTCAGGCGACAAAGGCAACAATAGAGCAAACAGATCTCCATTTAAGGAGAAGGTATGTCTTCAAATATACTGAAGACTGAATAAAAATGTGCAAAAATGAAAAGAAATAAGCCAAAAAGCTAGGAAAGAGGAAAAGGAAAAAAACAAGAGCTTATCTGTGTTAATAAGAGGCTGCAAAATTAAAAGGAGTGGAAATAACACTCGTGGCTAGGCCTGTTAATTTACCGAATTTCAGAGATTGGTCAATGTATCAAGGCTAACACTTGAAAACATGTGCCATCTACCCTTGCAGTCAATCATGGAATCAAGTGTTACTGGGTTGCACACTTAAGCGTGGAAATTCATTGAAAGAGGGTCAATCAAGCAACCTAATGCATTTTAAAGTAGATTTTCCCAAAATACTGTGAGACATAATAATGTAAAATTATTGCTGCCTTTCTAAAAATATTCAAAGTTTGAATCTTAGATGAATGTTGAGCATACAGATATCACCATCTATTCATCTGCTTTAAGAGAAGGCAAATTATTGTTTTAATATAATGTATCTGATTATGTTGTACTGCTGATTTTCAAGCCATTCCCTATTTTAATGTGTTAAGAAACTACATACAACTATTATTTTAAATATCTACTACTATTTATTTTGAATAATAGTTTGTTCTTAAATTAGAAATTCATATACACAATAAATTCCTGTAAGAATCGGGAAGTTTTAAGTATAGAAAGTACAGCTGCAGCATACCTTTAACAGAGGATTACAGCTGTACAGTGTTGAAATCTGAATAATCAAACAAAATGATTCTATTTTTCTGGGTGTTTTTTTTTTTTTTGTTGTTTTTTTGGTGGAGTCACTTACCACAAAAGCATCTGTATGTTCATCAGCTTCTATTTCCACATCATCTGGAACCTGCTCCACTGTTAGGTCTTCAAGGGGTTGAGGCTGCAAATTATAACACTGTAGTAAGTAAATTCACATATCTAATATGTTTAATATATTTTTATTATTGTTAACACAGTATTGTATCTAATTTAAAATAAATAAATGGAGTACCTTTTCTTCCATTTCATAATCCACTCCAAATATAGGATTAGCTGAATAAACTTTGTGAAGTGAATTAATCTCTTTCACTGCCTCCTGTAGTTTCTCTACAGGGTCTATTTTAAAACCAAGCACATATCCTCCACTCTATATAACAGAGGAAAAAGACAAGATGTGTTTATTAGTCTTACTTTTTAAACAATTTTTCTCCTTGATAGTGATTTCCAGTTTAATGATAGCAATTTTCAGCTTGCTGAGAAAACTTGAATCATGGATGAAATAAAAACAATGACAATGCTTCTCTATGAGGTAGATAAGCTTTTAACCATTAGCCCATTATATAAAAGGGGAACAAACTCCTTTTACAGAAAACCACAAGCAAACAAGGGTGGGACAAATTCAGAAGTGAAATTAATGATTTATTCCCAGCCACTAAGCAAATGTTGAGTCTGTTAGGTCTTGATGTTATTAAAGAAGCTTTTAGATACACAGAAATAATGAAAATTATTTAAAAGAGTGGTCTTAATTAAGTACAGGATCAATTATATCCCAAAGATAATCTGTCAGAAGACAGTGTATTTGACAGTTATAAACTAGTCATGCTGGCCTGTTGTTGCTTACAGAGGCCTATTGTTGCCTACAGTTACAGAGAAACTGTAACTCCCAATAGCCATATTGACCATAACATACACTTAAAGCAGTGCAAAGAGAATTTTCTGAAAGTTTTCAAAAGGCCACACAGAAGAAATGCTCTATGCAACTTAAAAGTAGGCCCATGACATTTCAGAATTAGAGAACTATTCTATATAAAAATACTGCATCTAGAAAAATAATGTATGTATGTATAATAAAAATGTAATCAAAAGAAAAAGGCTATTAAAGCTTCTTACCTGCTGAGAACTCTCTATCACAAGTGCCAAGCCAAACTTTGAGTCTCTCATTTTTATTGAACGCTAATGATAAAGAGGTATAACACTGTTAAAAAATTTCTAATTACTGGATAAAAATCTCATTGTTTCAGTTTGGATTTTTACAGTGTAATAATTACAATTACTGACTCAGGAAGCTTGGCTACCAGCATTCTCTCCCATTTACCATTACAAATCTGAACCCCTGAAACCTCAGGGAAAAATGTTTTATTAGAAGTGGTAACAGTGGTAACAGTAAATTTCTGAACATCAGGTTCACAGATCATTAATCCCAGTGTATGTAGGTGGCATGAAGCATCAGAGTAAATATTAAAAGGTTTGAAATACAAGCCATTTTCAACACCTGTACCTGCCCAGGAAATCCCCCAACTAATCTGGTCAGAAAAGAAAATATACCCTGTGGTTGATGCTGGCAAGACTAAATTCCTCTCTGAATGAGGGATAGGAAATAAAATTTTGATAAGCTGGGAGTTTTAACCAAAGACTTGAGCATATGCTGTTTCATTTTGAAAATGGTTGTTG